GAGATAAAATTTAAGATAATAAAGAATAAGAAGAGAATTGAAAATAAATCATATGTCTCTAAAATTAAAGCAATGAGAAATAAATTAGTTAATTATTGAGATTAATTAATGAAAATATAAATTATAAAGGGAGAGAGATGAAAACATTAAATTATAATAATTATTATTATAATTATGAGAAGAAAATTATTATTATTTATTTAGCAATTAATTGACAATCAAATTAATTTAAATTAAAATTGGAAAGAGAAATTAATTTGATTCAAAAAGAAAATTAATGAGATTTTAGATTACTTGCAAATTTGATTTTAATGATTAATTAAAGTAATAAATTATTTATTATTTTTGGATTGATATTTAATGATACTTGTTCATTTGTTTTATTCATTTATTGTTTGAATGGAATCATGTGGTTCATATTGAGTATATTGAGTTTTGAATAAGCTTTAGATATTGATGAATGAATAAAGTTAAGTAGAGAATGGGAATATTGGTTGTGTTTAGGAATATGATAAACTTTGAGTGATAATTGGAATGGGTGAATGTTGGAATGTATCTCAGTGTGACTGATGCCTGTTACTATAAAGTTTATGGTATTGCAGAGCTCATGATTTTATTCATGATGAATGATTCATGATGAGGTTATATCTAATAGAGGTACATGTAATGAGGATTAGTAGTGACGATTTGTTTGGAGATGATGTTGATAAGGATGACCTTGATGGTATAGTCATCATATAGTTAATGATGATGTTGATAATGATCATGGTGTATTAATTATTTTGTTAGTAGGATAACATTGTAGATGATTGATTTGTTATTAAGTTGTGTTTGCTCCTATGTACAGATTTTATTGTTATTGGTTGTGTTATGGTAGCTTACCCATTACCCATATTTGTTGTGTTTGGGGTTATGTGTGTCTTGCGATGATCGTATAACTTTTGGTTATACGGGAGCAGATGTTGCAGATGCTCCAAATGCATGATAAAGACGCAAGACTGAGAAAAAGACTTTTATTATTTAAAGTTTTGTGCTATAAATGTTAGAGACAATGTAATTGAGTTTACTTTATTTTATTTCATTATACTAATTTATGTATTATATAAGTGAATTTTTGTAATGGTGTTATGATTTTTAAAATTGTTAAATTTCACTCGTAATAGGGATATCCCAAAATTAGGGATGTTATATTATTCATAAAGGAAGAATCAAACAAATGACTTATAACCCACTATAACCAATTATGCTAAACTTCACCTCTATTTAAAATGTTATTTCTTATTTTTATAAACATGATTAATGTATAAACTACCTTCATAGATATTTTATTTATTTTTCCTGATCTTACACTTTCACTTTTTCAATTTTTTTATATTTAAAATGATTTATAATTTATAAATAATGTATTTATATGTATATAAAATATATAAAATTATATATAATTAATAATTAAAGTTCTTTAATACTATTAAATAAATAAACTTCATGATTTTCATTAATTTTTTAATTAAATTAACTTTTATAAAATGATTTTAATTAAATAATTTATAACCAAAATTATTGTAAATACATAAATAAAAATCCATTTAAAATAAATATTTGTTTAAGTAAATTTATTAGATTAAAAAAAATTATAATGAAATATAATTTTTTTTTAATTTTTAATTACATGATTAAATAATAATAGTTATAAATTATTTAATTAAAATCATTTTATAAAAAATTAATTTAATTAAAATCATGAAATTTATTTATTTAATAATATTAAAAAACTTTAATTATTAATTATATATAATTTTAAATATTTTAAATACATATTATTTATAAATTATAAATCATTTTAAATAAAAAAAAATTGAAAAAGTGAAAGTGTGTGGGGTGCACGACTTCAAGAAGTCGTCAACCTCCCCTACAATTTTAATTATTTTGTTTTCTTATTAATTTAAATAGTTTATAATGAAAAAAATTGTTATTAATTAATTATAATTTGTAAAAAAAATATTATAATAATAAAAGTTCAGAAAATAGAAACATAAATGGTTTTGTATTTTTAATTAGATAACTACAGTAATTATAGTTATAAATTATTTAATTGAAATTATTTTATAAGGAATTTGATTTAATTACAAAATTAATTAAAATAATAAAATTTATTTATTTAATAATATTAAAAAACTTTAATTATTAATTAGATATAATTTTAATTATTTTAAATATATTTAAAAACATTTTTACAAATTATAAAATAAATAAATTTAATTAATAAAAGAAATTAAAAATTAAAAAAGTAAAGATAGGTGGGAGTGCGACTTGAATAGAAGTCGTCAACCTCTTGAGACTTCAATTTTTTTATATTTGTTTTATGAAAAAAAGCGTGATAATTGATTACAACACTTGGTAATCGATTACCATGTTCTAAAGTCATTTTTAGGGTATACGACTTCATCTCTGACCACGGTGTTAGGGTAAAGTCGTGTGGTCAGAGATGAAGTCGTGTCTCTTCTTCATTTGAAGTCGTATGAGTTTTCCACGACTTGTCTATTTTCGTAATTTGAAATTTTTTTACCTATATCGATAATTTATACTACAAATTTACCAAGTTTCTTGCAAAAACCTTATTTTGGTTACTAGTCTCATACCAATTCTATAAGGGTGTTGCTCCCTCCACCCCCACACATCTCTTCCTCCACCTCCCCTTTACTATTTTGCCCCTTCCTCCACCTTTCCTTTACTATTTTGCCCCTCAGTAAAATTTTATTTTTAAAATTGTTGTTTTTTAATTTTATTCATTTATAACATATTTCACTGATAACCTACGTAGTTTCTTGTATGAGTAAAATATTTTTCTACAAAGCTTGGTGATCGTGAAAAGAATTATCAAACAATCTTCTTCTTGTTCTCGGTGCAGTACGTGGTGCAGTGCGTTTATGGTGTAGTGTCCTTGTCGTGGTTCCTCTCCAGGTACGTACTCATAATCCTTCCAATAATCCTAAACCCTAAATCCTTCCCATACTTCCAATAATCCTTTTAATATCCAAGCCTATAATCCTTGCATGAGCCGCAAAACGTAGTAAAATAAAAACGAAACGTAAAAGGAACACTGCCTATGGACGGATGACATCCTTCAACGGATGTCAACATCCGTTTAAGGCAAAACGGATGTCGACATCCGTTTAAGGCAAAACGGATGTCACCCCGTTTTGCCTTCAACGGATGTTGACATCCGTTGAAGGATGTCATCCGTCCAGAGGCAGTGTTCCTTTTACGTTTCGTTTTTATTTTATTTGTTTATTTTATTTACAGTAATTTATATTTAAATTTATAATTTTAAATGTTATATATGGTTAGTTTTTAAACGTAATAATTTTGTTAAAATATGAATTTGTTAAAATATGAATTTGTTATAGGTGGAGAAGAAGCTTAACGGAAGAGAGAAAGGTAAACGAAAATGGAAGAGAGGAAGAGGTGCAGAGGGAAGTAAATCAGAAGTTTTAAATAAATTAAAATATTAAAATAATAAAAATAAAAAATTTTAACTTTTGAGGATATAATTGTCATTTTAGAAGGATATAATTGGCATTTTAGAAAATTGGAGAGGTGGAGGAAGAGACGTGTGGAGGAAGAGACGTGTGGGGGTGGAGGGAGTAACACCCATTCTATAAAAGCAGGTTTCTGGCCCAGACATTGGGCTACCATCATTCTAAATGGGGTGTTGCTCCCTCCACCACCACAAGTTCTCCCTCTACCTCCCCAACCTTCGAAAAAAATATATTTTAATTACAAAAATAACCTTTTTAACTTTTAACCTTATTTATTTACTTTAAACTCAAACCCTATCTTTCTACCTATTTTTACTTTTTACTCAGCCCCACCTCCCAACTCTCCTTCTCTCTCTTTTCAGATTCCCACCCCCAACTTCACTACATCCGTTTGTTTTAATTACAAAAATATTAATATAATAAAATTATATATTTCATATAATTAAACTAATAAATAATTTTTTATATAATTATAAAATTATTAAAGAATACAAAAACCAAATATAAAAAATATATATTATACAAAAACATTAAAACAAAAAACTAATTATATTAACTACAAAATACAAAAAAATATAAATATAAACTAATAACAATAAAGATTTTCAAAAATACATTATTAAAATACATCAAAAATATATTCAAAAATAATACATCAAAACATATAAATTACATTATTAAAATATTTCCAAAATTAATATAAAAAAATAAAATAATAAAAATAAACTGGACAATAAACATGTAACTTTAAACGAATGTGAGCATCCGTCAACGGATGTCAACATCCGTTTAAGGCAAAACAGATATCGACATCCGTTTTCCCTTAAACGGATGTTGACATTCGCTGAGGGATGCTCACATCCGTTTAAAGATTATACGTTTATCTTTTTAGGGTTTATTACGCACCTTCACGACGAATCCTTCAAGCCCCACCACACCACCACCCCACCACCCCACATCGATCTTGGCACGACTGATCAATTGCTTCCACCACCACTTGCAATCTCTCACTAAGCACACCACCTAATGAAAGTCCACCACACTCTAAGACCACAATTCTATCACAATTAAAGAATGAGAGGAAGAAGTGGAACATGAAAAAGAGGAAGAAGAGCACAATGAAACAATGAGGGAACGAACGATAAAGAGGAAGAAGAGTTGCCACTGCGTACATGTAGAGGATTGGACTGGGTAGAGGTTAAAAAATATTAACCCTAAAATTTTACTAAAGATAAAATAGAAATGAAAAAATAAAAAGAAGGGTAGAACAGGAATGGGATGGTGGAGGGAGAAAGGGTGGAGGTGGAGGGAGCAACACCCTTCTAAATGTGACAATGATGGTTCATACTAATCCTATTCACCAAAATTGCGGGTCCATGTATTAAGAAAATAAAATTAAAAATACAATTATACTTATACTCTAATATATTATCAGAAACTATACATTTAATCATAAATAAATAATGCACATTAAGCTTTTAAATTCAATCCTAACAAATTACAAGAGATTCCATCCAACCCAAGCAGTAAGAAAGCAGAACAAAAAACAGGTTTACTTGAAAAAGAAGAGAAAAAATAAACCCCTGACATAGGTAAATTAAGGGTCGGACAGAAGACATAAGTTGCGGTAGATAAATGGACAATGGGGTGGGTCTCGGTCTCATGCAATCAGTGCTCAAGCATAGCACATTTACACACTGCCCCCTCATCCCCACAAGTTCCTTTTTTTTTTTTTCAGCAGGAGTGAATTGAAAATTAATTTTTTTAAAAAATAATAATAAAAGGTTGTATGGTGAATCGGTATCAGATTCAGAGTGCAACCACCGATTTCGTTGCGAGTTGCCACGCGAAAGTGGCAATCAAGGCCCTTGTGTGCCATCCCAGCATGAGACACCCACTGTTCTCCTCCACCCTATACCCATCCCCACCAGCAAAAAGAGCGAGCAACATGCTAGCCTGCTTGAACGCGTTGGAATTCAAACGAACCGGACAAAACCCTGTCGAACTGAACCGGTTCTGCCACTGGTTAAGGGTCTCGTGCCATTCCACGCGATCTATTCCCTCGCAAGCCACCACGTTACATATTTATTTCCTAGGTAAACCTCCGTCATCGCCTTATTCTCTGGATTCACACAGGCGAGCCCTCCACCGGGTCGAACAAAGTTGAATAATAGTGTAGCGACTCAATGAAGCGGTCAAGAAACCTCAGTCCATTATGATTCGATTCTTGCTCCACCACTGTCAGAATCTCCGACCGAATTTATGGACAACGGATCGATGGCGCCAAAGCCGTGGTACTCAATCCGCACGTGAATCGTCTCTGCCAACTGTGCGAGCTTCCATCCGACCTCCTGGAGTTGGTCAGAGTTATCCGCTGCTGGAGGCCCGATTCCGATGAGCCGGAAAGTGAGAGGACCGCCGGGACGAAGGCCGAGAGCCTGCAACAGTGTTGGCCACTGCATCCCCTGGTTGATTCCGAAATCTATGACGTGAACGTGGCTCTTCCCTTGGAACGCTTCCTGAATAGCTTGGTTCGCGGTGAAGAGTGCGAACTTGGTGTAAGGACAGGTTTCATAGAAGTGAATCTCGAGAGAGTCTGGGATTGAGTGCTGGAGAGGGAAAATGCGATAGATTCGCCATGTGAGCACTTCCGTAAAGTAGGTGGTGACTTTCTGCATAGCTCCAACCACACCGCGAGGAATCCGGTCTGCTTCACCAACGACTCCGGGACGACGAGGTTGTTGTTTTCTACGGCCTCCGCGCACGCCATGAGACTGTGCACGTGAAGGATCCCGTTCTTCTGTGAGTCAACAACCAGAAAAGCACGCGTTGACTTGGTAGATTTGCGACGCTTAGCATTTGGCGTGGTGCTAACACCTCTGTCGTAAATTGCTTTCCCTGGAATAGCCTTGAGATCCTAGTCTGAAGAGGGGTAGCCCTTATCTGGTTCTTCTGGAGGAAGCAAGTCGAAATTGCAGAGCATGGTCTCGACAGTTGGAGATATCAGAGGGGTTATAGTGCGCGGCGCCATCTGAAAGTTCCTTGAGATCGTCTTGAATGTTTCCCATGGCTTCTTCAAGACGCTCCAACTTCTGCACGATTTCCGCCATGTCGAAAGATCTCACCTTCTAACCCACCACCGCCAGAAGTTCGTCCATGCCTCCTTCCTCGTCCCAAATGTTCGATTTGTCACTCGAGTACCCGCAGCTTGAGTTCCCTGCGCTGGAACCAAGCTGTTCGCACTCCCTCTTCATCCCTATCTTCGCCCAACAATTTCTTTCTCTCTATTCTCTTTGGTGACTTTTGCTACCACAACTGTAACAACTGTATATCCTCCACTTAACACATGACAAGCCCCAAATATCAATTAGTCAATTTTTTTTAAATATATAGAAAAAACAATATAAATTGAATATGTGTCTAAGTACAATACTTTTTTAATATTTTTAAAGAGTAAAAATATTATTTAACAAAACAGAGAGCAAGGAACTTGTGAGGAGACTTCATACCAGTGATCATATACGAAGATAATAAGTTACACAAAACATTACTTAAGGAATCATCTCATCTCATGATTTCTTTATTTGTTTGTCAAAAAAGAGTAGTATATATATTTTTTGACTTATTTCTATCCTCAGTGGTGTTGGTCGTTTTTTTTCTCTTTTAAGTGTAAAAAGTTTATATATCCTTCTTCTTTTCCAAAATACAAATAATATGAGACATAACATATAGCTTGATATTAAAAGAAAAGAAGAATAAATAAATCTTCCTTATATTGTGCCTTGTATCTCACGACAACAACTTATTAACTTTAATTTTGATACGAGAATGGTAGCTTATATACCTTTAAAAAAATGAAGAAAGGAATGATGTGAGACTTGTTGCTGCTTTGCTGTGTACTTGAGTTGCTTCATGCATCTTAGTCTCACATTCCTTAGCTCATTTACCATTCTTCCTATCTTAAAGCTATTTAAAGCAATTTCTAGCTCCCCTGTGTACACACAGTAATAAATGAAATAAAAAGTATTTTGTATTCCATTGCATTACTTCTTAAAGATAACAATTATCTCTTAATTTCAATTTTCAAATCTTATCTTGTGGTAAAACACGTGTCAATCCTTCCACTTATCTTTTCTAAGTGGTATGACAACCTTTCTCCATAAGTTTTCTTATTCTTTATCTTTCGCTTCTTTTTTTCAATTCCTTTTTCAATTCTACTATGTTAATTGTAATTTCTAGTTTACATAAGCATGCTATTCCATATCACCGATGAAACTCCATACAACCTTGTGACACAATCCAAATGACACATTTTTTGTGGTTTTCTTTGATTTTTTTTTCTTAGCTAAAACGTAAAAATTCAACACCATTTAAAGATCTTATATCATTGTTTTTTGTTTCTAAATCTCTCTTTATCTTCATTTCTTGTGGTCTTTTGAGTTTTCTCTTTCTTTTAAATTCTTTTTGTTTCAGATTTTAATGTCTCATTTTTCCCATTTGACCTTTTAATTAACCATTAGGTTATTATAGGTAAAATCTAAACCATCTTCTCATGAATAACTAACTCCATTGGTATTGAGCATAGTGCTTTGGGCTTATCATCACACAACCCCTAACCTTTAGTTCTTTAGAGAGTAAGGCTAGAAAAGTGTATAATCAACTTATTTTTAGGTCTTTAGAGCTTAAGGCTAGACAATTTTAATCATCAACTCAAATGATATATCACCTATTATGTGTTACTAAAACATAGAAAAGTTTCACACATATTCTAAATGTATTTATTTTGAATCATAAAATAAAATTATAACGTTCATTTATTTCATCAAATAAATTTTATAAATCTTCCACTCAATAAAATTTATTTCAAATAATAAAAAATACTTAAAAATAGTCAATAATTAAAATTTATTCAAAATAATTCGAAATAAAAGAAATTGCATTCTCAAAGCAATCCCTAAGCTCCTTGCTACTATGCATTTGAACCACCACTTGCAACATTATCTTTTCAAATATAACACAAGTTATACGTGAAGTACCTAAGAAACACTATAAGGGAGGAGTTGAATAATGTTTATGAAAAATGTTTTTCACAACCTTTCTGATATAACACGTTGTTGACAATGTAAAATATTCTTTTAAAGGCTTAGAAGCTCGACTTGAAATATGAGCTTTGTAACGTGATATTCAAAATAACTTCTACTGTAGTATTTGTAAGAACTTTCTTTAAAAAATAAAAGATCGTTTAACTTGGAAGTTCTTATATTTTCAAATAGAAAGCGTTTTCTAAGAGGATTGTAAGCTTTATGCACTTTGGCTATCCTCTATTCTATTATCCTCTTGAATTTCTTCTTGAGAGATCTTCTATTTTTATAATTTGTGAATATTTGTCAGTTAGAATGTGTTTGTAGTTCGTAGTCTTGATGCTTGTTTTTCTTTTTTTTCTTTTCACAACAATCATTATGTAAGTCAACTTTGCTAGAGCATGCATGCTTTTTCAATCCTTTGCTTGAAGTAGGCTGTATGATCTTTTTAGATTTTGCTTCAAGAAAGGAACATTCCATGATTATCTCTTTTGTCTCTAACATCCACATTTAATATTTGATCTGTAGCACTATGGATACGTATAGAATAGGTTATCTTCAAAGTTAGCAGTAAATGACTTTTCTTATCACTTATGTTGCTTTTGAACATTGGACATTTAATGTTATTTAATGCTCACTCAGAACAACAAAGTGTTTTTTGATTTCTTACTATTATGTAGCATTTTACAATTAAGCTCTTTTATTTTGAAGATACCAATTGTATAGATACTTCATCACAAGATGATGTGTTTGCTTCGCTCATGGTATCAACTTAACTCAAGTAAACGCTTCAATTGTTCTTGTTTCAGATAACAATTAGCTTGTTCAGACTTTCTTATGTCTTTTAATAATTTTAATAATAGTGGGTGTTTAGTCGGACCAATGAGTTCACCATGACACGGAGCAATTCGGTGAACTTGGCGTAAACGAGTTCGATAAGGAAGGGCTCATCGTTACAAATATTTTTCTCATGCCCTCGAGGTTGATGATGTTGTTTCATATGCAAATGATGGTGGCATAAGAGAGAAAATGCTATGGGTGGAGGAGTTAAAATGATATTGACGATCTCGAATGTCCACACATCGATGTTTGGTTTGGACTTGAACAAAGATTTCTTCTTCAACAACTTAGGCAGAACTAACTCAAAATTATTTGATATGGCAGTTTTAACCTTGACAAAGAATGTTTCAATGACTATAGCTACATTTGAGGTGAACTTCCTCTAAGTGATTTACGAGTGTTGAGACAATGTGTATGAAAAAGTGGGAAAGATAAATAAATAAATAATTTAGAGTGAGAAGCTTTTGGTGCATAGGTATTAGGATATATAAGAAGAGGATTGAAAACACTAGAGAGTAGGTGGTACAAAGAAACTGATTGTTTATTAACATAAGAGAAAGGTTGTGTCGTAACGATATAGAAATGTGGAAATGTTGAGTATTTTGGGTAACTGATGGGGTGTGTGCGGTGTGAGTGATATTTGTAGATGGTGAAAAAATAAAAGAAAAAGAGAAAGAGTTGACCACATAATAATGTGAGAGTAAGATAATTTTAAAAAACTTTGACTCATGTATTCCACGGTCACATTTCTACTCTTTTAATGTCATTTTTGAAAATATAACAAAAATATCTAATTGAAACATTTTAACAAAGTTTGATATTCAATTGAAATATAAATATAAATAAGGGTTAAATATGTTTTTAGTCCCTAAACTATTGACCGTTTTTGGTTTTCGTCCCTCTTCCAAAGTAAGGTACAATTTGGTCCTCAATCTTTAAAAAACGTTCGTTTTAGTCGAAAAAACGAACGTTTTGAGGACTAAAACGAGGACTAAAAACAAAATTTTGAGGACTAAAACGAACGTTTTTCTAAAGAATGAGGACCAAATTGTACCTTACTTTGAAAGAGGGACGAAAACCAGAAATGGCCAATAGTTTAGGGACTAAAAACATATTTAACCCTATAAATAAAGACCAACTTGAAACTTTTTAACCAAATAGTTTATTCATCATTTCCAAAACCCAACTATTGTTTAAAAGAATCAATAAAGAATGAAGATTCACATCCCGGTTTAGCTTAGTTGAGGAGATTTTAAGAGCGCCCAAAATAATACCATTTAAAAATAAAGTTACAACCAACCCTTCCATTCCCGTCATATGGACTAAAGATGCCTTCGAATAATTGTGGTTTGTGAAATTCACCGGCAATCCAGTGAATCGAAGGAGTTTGCAAATCCGACAGGTTTAGAGGGGATGCTTAATTGGGTTTGTGAGATGGATACATCATTAAATATCGAGGAAGTGCCTTCATCGGCTTGCCACCTTCGTAGAGCTTGAGGAAGGCTCATCTGAAAGTCACCGTTACCGCTGTCCTCTTCTTCATGACTAATAGGTTTCCATTGCTCCACAAGAGGAACTAAGACATTCACTGCATGACCCATATCTGGCCTTTGATATGGTTCACGAGCAGTGCAATGGCCAGCCAGTTCAGCCACCTTATACATGCTCTCCGTAGTTTCCTCGTCGGGGTTGAGAATTTGATCAATTGCCTTTGGAATGTTTTCCTTGTTAATTAGTAGTCTACGGAACCATGTAACCAAGTGAGACCTTTCATCTGGCACGGTATCATCCAATGCCTTTCTACCGGTAACAAGTTCCATCAAAACTACACCAAATGCATAAACATCCACTTTGGTTGTCACTCTTCCAGTGGCTGGCAAGAAACAAGATAACATTATACATAATCCAATTAATAGTCTAGCATTAATCAAGTGCATCTACTCACATTCACTGCAACAATAATCTAACTTTTAAAATTAGATAAGTGAAGCAGAGCAACATTTTAGTAAGTTTTATGCTACATAGGTTTTATATGTAGATGGATCAAAACTAGTAAATTTTAACAAAAGATGCGCCAATGCACCAAGGATATGGGATGGGCGGATAAAGTTCACAAAAGTGATTCTTAGCAACAGAGAACTACCACCCAAGGCGATGACAATATTCAGTAATCCAACATTTTATGCAATCAGAGCATTCATCACATCATAAAGGATAATCGGCATTGGGATTCAGACTCTGATAGCTTTCTATAAATGGCTCAAAAAATCCTGAGGTATATAGACCACTACACCATCCAGAAAACTCTACACCCAGCCGAATATAAAATTGCAAAGTAGACAAAATGAATTGCCTACTCTGATGGGAATGAGCGTCAATTATTTCAACTTATTTTTGTGTGGTTATTCATAAGGTTTAGGGTACTTCAATTTTCTGAAAAGCGCAGTACGATACTTTCATGATATTGAAGTA